GTGAAAATATAAAATCCTATAATTTTCAGTAGGTTTATAATAAATATATACAATGATATTACAGTAAACAGCTAACTATTGCAATCTATTTTTAGAATACATACTAAGTTTGTTTGGTGTCAGGGAATGTGAAGCAGTATTTCCTATAGGATGCCTTGAGGAAGCAGGAGGAAGACATTCTTGTTTAAGGCAGGACTTGTGTCACCAGTGCTACCCACAGGTGGCTTCTCTTTTTGCCAGGCAATGGGAAAGGACTTGGGTGTTGCCGTTCTGTGTTAGTCAGGGTTCTCTAGAGGAATAAAATTTACAGAATGGACACACACACACACACACACACACACACACACACACACACACACACACACGACAGTCTATTAGAATGACTTGTAGGCTGTGGTCCACCTTGCCCAACAATGACTGTCTACCAACAGAAAGTCCAAGAATCCTGTAGTTGCTCAGTCCACAAGTCTGGATGCCTTTGCTGGTCTTCAGTATATATTGGAATCTCGAAGAAGTAGGCTCTAATGCCTGTGAAGAAATGGACTTGCCAGCAGAGTGAGAGCAAGCAGGCAAAGCAGACGGTGGATCTCCCCACCTCGAAGATCTGAATTAGAAGTGGGTCTAACAACTTCAAATCAATTGATTAAGAAAAACAAACAAGCAAGCAAACAAAAACAAAAACAAATAAACCCTCACACTAACAGTTAATTCCAGATGTAGTCAAGTAGGCAACTAAGAACAGCTGTTTCAGGCAGTATTATTGTCAATATCCTCACCCCTAACAGGTATGCTGTAGTTTCCCTCAGAACTGCCGTGCACCTCTTAATTTGGTTCTTCCTCCAGCCTGGCCACGGAGCGCCCCATTCTGGAGCCCCCCCTCCTGGAGCGCCCCCTCCTGGAGCGCCCCATCCTGGAGCCCCCCCTCCTGGAGTCCCCCAGCACAGTCCACTTAGAGCTGCCATGCTCTCACTCTTTTGTTTTTCCAAAAACTTTATGATTTTAGCCTTCTTGCAGTACTTTTCTAAATTTTTTTTTTTTTTTTTTTCGAGACAGGGTTTCTCTGTGTAGCTTTGCGCCTTTCCTGGAACTCGCTTTGGAGACCAGGCTGGCCTCGAACTCACAGAGATCCGCCTGCCTCTGCCTCCCAAGTGCTGGGATTAAAGGCGTGCGCCACCACCGCCCGGCACTTTTCTAAATTTTATCATATTTATATATTGCTTAAACATTTTAAGATAAGAATTTTAAAAATAGTAAAAATATGCTGTTAATGGGGTAATCTGTAATATTTTGTTACCTTGTTATAATGTTTGAAACAGGTTAAGCATGTCTATATACCCAAGCATTTGTTGTTTCCTTATGATGGAAGCATTCAAAGTCGTTTTTCCTAGCTTTTCAAATTACATAGTATGTAATTATTACCTATAGTCATACCACTGTTTAGTAGCCTATTAAATACTCTTAATACAAAAGCTAGCAACACAAACTCCCATGAGAACTATAACTCCCATACAGAGCTCTTTATGTAGGGAAACTGACTGTGAACAAAGTAGGGTATAAGGAAGGCCTTCGTGTTTTCCTGCAGTCATTGTGTTCAACCAGGTAGCATTTTCCTCCTTCAGGATACCTGAAACAGAAAGCTGATATGGAAAGGAAACATAGCAAGAAAAATAAGGAGTTAAGATGTCTTTCCCTTTTACAGTCTTTCTCCTTATTTATCTTCAGTGTTTTAACAAATCTAACCATTGCACAGAGACATTAAAACAGAAAGAAAAACAGCACCATTTTCTGAGTCATAATGTTCCCTGAGGCTGCATGAATCTGTTTCTGTTGAAAGTCCATGAATCATTTAAGGAATTGGACAAAAATAGTTTGTGTGACCACTCATTTACAACTTTCTTCTCTATCTAGATGATAAGATAAAACCCATACATATATATATATATATATATATATATATATATATATATATATATATATATATTAATGGGAGGCAAGGATGTCAATACAGCTGAAAGTTCTGTAGGGAGGTGTGTGCTCCTGCACTCCAACCATTCCCAGCTAACTCAAGAGATCAGAAAAAACTAGCAGAGTTTTGGATCCATATTTGACAATGAATTCTCATCTGGTTCATGTTTGAAGAGTTGAGGCACCCTGGGGAAGTTGTTTGAGAACCACTCAGTGATCTCAACAGTCCAGAATGCCCACAGAACATGCTCCTGAGAAGGTGCTACAGAGTATAGGACAATAGATCTGGAGTGAATGCCTGGGCTGGGGCTCAGTGGTGGACTGTGGTTCCTTCAGGCAGGAGAGCAGAGAGTGCAGATACCTCAGGTGGTGACGAGCCTGAGTGAGATAGAAACTGCCCTGGAAACAGGTTGCTGTTTCAATCCTCAGAGTGCAAGATAGTGAGCTGTTTTCACTGTGGTGACTCATGTCCTTATTCAATGAACTTTTATGGAATATGATTTACCATGTAGGCATAGCTCCAGCACTACTAGAAATGTTGGTCCCAAAGAAGAGTAATGACTTTAAATCATCTCTATTGCTTCCATCAAAATTTAGAAGGTGGGAGAAGCCCAGTGAATAAAAATAAAGAAGACTCTAGAGATAAATGGAAACCATATAAAAATAAAAGTATCAAATGCATTCTATCTGCATTAATTGTTGGAATACTAGCACCTATCTTTGAGTAAAATAAATTCCATTAGTCATATATGTTATGCTAAAATCAATATATATATGAATGTGATATTATAAATTAACTATATTTCTCCCTTCCCTTTTGTTGTTGTTGGTTGTGATATGTTCCTGATAGGTTCGTATATTTGAGCATGTGGTCTCCAGCTGATGATGCTGGGGACACCCTGGAAGAAATAGGGTGCTAGTGTTGGTCTTTGTTGTTTCAAAGCCTTTCTTTCTGATCTCTGCCTCCTGACTATGGATAAAAATGTGACCAGCTGCCTCTTGCCTTTGTTGCCATGATGGCCTTCCCATGCTACTTCAATCCCAAATCAAACTCTTCTTTCTTGAAGTAGATTTTCTTTGGTCAGGAACTTGGTCACAACAGCAAGAGAGATGACATAGACATGAACTCAACACGACGAAGGTGGCAGCTCTTTCTTAGTCTTTGACAAGTGGATTATATATGTCATGACTAATGTAGAAAGATGTTCACTTTTGTAGTAAGCCAAGGTGAGACACAAGATGCAAATACAGCCTTTGCATATCATAAGAAGTATAGCATTTTCAGACCTTCCAAAAGGACGAATATTCTTGACTATGGGAGGCAGGACAGATGTTTCAACCCTCAAACTGAGGAACTGCTCATGTTTGGTGCTATCTACCAGACTTAGTAGACATTAGTGGACAGGATAACTTCAAGATTAACAGCTGAAATGGACATGTCCAATTCTACTTAGGAAAAAGGATTTGTATTCACCTAATTCACCTTGGCATACTATACTAATCAAATTTTGTAGCACAAATCTTAAATGGTCTTATTAATAAAAAACCCGGGACCAGGTATTGGGGTAAATCCTGAAAGATCAGAGAGACAGAACAAGCCACAGCCAACCTCACCTGGCCAGCTTCTCAGCCAGTCCTGTTTCCTCAGACTGAAAGCCTCTGAGTCCTCATCTGAATGGATCTCACCTGAACTGCTGCTAAAAGCCTAAAAGCTTAAAAGCCTCTATTTCCAGGTCCTCATGCCTTATATACCTTTCTGCTTCCTGGCATCACTTCCTTGGATTAAAGGCATGTGTCACCATGCCTGGCTGTTTCCAGTGTGGCTTTGAACTCACAGAGGTCTGGATGGATCTCTGCCTCTGGAATGCTAGAATTAAAGGCATGTACTACCACTGCCTAACCTCTATGCTTAATATAGTGGCTGTTCTTTTCTGTGACCTTCAGGTAAGTTTATTGGGGTGCATAATATATCAACCACAAAATATTTTCTTGGACAGTTACTGTAATCTTCACATCTTTGAATTTGGTATAGTCAAATCTCTATGATGAGAAAATTGTATTTAAAGGGGATCATATGGCCTAACATATTCCTTTCCACAAGGATGATGATTTAAAAGCCTACTTTCATGTTGTGCAGTGACATAAAGGCAACCTAGTTTAACACTGGACTTCTTTGGATTTTTCATGGAAAGCATAGAAGAACAGCTCACATCAGGGAGCACAGGAAACACAATGAAGAGGATACAGGAAGCAGGCAGAGTTATCAATGCCTCCTAAGGCTTTGATGATGGCAATATCTCCATTGTTTTGATGATGATGTTGCATTAGAAGAAGTTTCTTGTTCAGTCTAATTTTCCCACTGGCTATTAACAAAACTGACACCAACAGTTGGAAGCATTCCTGATGTTTTCTTGTTAAATCTTTATTTTTTTAAGCACTGTTCCTAATATGTAAGTCCTTCTTATAAAATGTCTGAGATATAAGCTGGTGTCCCATACATGTCTATTTTATAGTATCTATGATGAAATTATAGAATCCTTACAGTACTGAATTCTTTATTTCCTCAGCAGCATTCATTTGTCTGACTTTTGTCCTCCTCCCTTTAACCTATGAATACTTCTGTTACAATAGAAATTGTCTTCATATTGTCTCATGAATTATCTGTAATCATTTTTCACCATACATAGTAAACTTTAGGATGTTTCCCAGTCACTGAAATGGCTACTATTGTATTTACCCTTTTATGATGGTTAGCTTTGTTGTTAACTTGATAGGATTAAGAGATGTTATATAGAACAGTACAGCCCATCCCCGGCTGTGTCTGAGAGGACATTTCCAGGGACAATTAGATCATGAGAGCTCTGACTTAATACATTAAATAATGATGTACTCAATATCCTATGGCATTATTAGGGAGTGATGAGTAGAGATGAAATCATAAGGAGTCATAATGCACAGAGGCGTGCCCTTGGGGCTGCACATTGACCTGATCTCTTTCTGTCCCCTCTCTCCATTTTCTGCTCTCTACAATGTAAGCTGCTCTTTCATGCTTCCCTACCATGATGGGCTGAGCCTTCTGAAACCATGAGCTCAAAGAAATCCTCTTTCTTCATGGTAGGTATTTTGATCATGTAACACAAAAGCAAATAGTATGTTATTTTAAAACTTTCTGATTAACCGGATTCTTCTTAATGTGTTATAACTATACGTAGTTGTCTTTGGGCCACCTATGGATTGTTTACAGCAATGCTTTTGTACTTGTCATTTTTCTTTCTGTTCTCTGCTGTTGATAATGCACTTGAGGTTATCACAGCTGGCATCAGAACAGGGAAATAGTTGATTGTTTCCACTTTGCCTTTATCATTACTCTATGACTCAAATGATTTATATCTAATTGTATTTACAAAATATTCTACCTACTGTGTACAAGATGCTGTTTATATGACAGGATGAATGTAAATGATGCTGTCTAGAATGGATAGAATTTATGGATGGGGGAGATAGCTCAGCAGTTAAGACCCCTAGCTGCTCATGCAGGGGTCCATCGTTCCCAGTATCCACACGTTGGTTTGCAATCATCTGTAAGTCCAGTTCCAAGGGATCCTATGCCCACTTCTTCCCCTACTGTCACTGCACACATATAATATACTTCATCCATGGAAACAAAACATTTAGACACATAGAAATAAACAAACAAACAAACAAAAAATGCTGTTTAGAACAGAATACAGGTTTTGTTTTTTTTTTTTTGGTTTTTCGAGACAGGGTTTCTCTGTGTAGCTTTGCGCCTTTTCCTGGAACTCACTTGGTAGCCCAGGAGAATACAGTTTTATAACCAAAGTTACATAAGATATATTTTCTTTACAGAAGCTGAAAGGTTATTTTTGTTGTATTTTTATTCCTTTTTGCAGGTATTCAGACAATTCTGTTTGAATCCAAAATATTTTGATTTCAGAATATAATTATTCTGTACGTAAATACTTGTAATTTCATATATATATATATATATATATAACTTAGGCCCACTCTAAGCTTCAACTTTGTAAAAATGACCATTTCTATAACTTATACTAAGATAAACCATTGCCACTAAATTCTTGTCAGATGCTTTATAAAACAAGCAAAGATGAATGAAAGAAAACATGGAAATGTAAGCTCACACATTAAAATGTGTGATTTATATTAAGAAGTTACCACAAAGACTGAACTTGCTATTCAGGAATCATTCAATATTTTCATCCCAGAAGTAATTTACTCATTTTAAATATGAGAAGATATTTTAAATTAGAACCAGGCCTGAACATGTTTCATTCTTTTAAAAAAAAAAACCTCACCACTGTGCCCTGTAGCTAGAAGATGGGAAGATGGAAAGAGTAATTTCCATGATGTGTTTTCTGAAGTGCAGGTTGAATTGAGGTAACTTAATAACTGCACTTAATGTGGAGTTTTCTATACACATCCCGAATTTCCATTTTACCACTCTTAAATAAAATTGCAATGGTAGAGAGTTATTGATAATAAAAATATTAAAATGAGTTTCCTAGTTATGCTTCCTAAATATTTTACCATTGTATAGTCCATCTAATGAATACTTTATAGAAATGCTAATTTTAGATTAGACATTTCATAGCAAAAATATGTTACATTCTTGGCTAGGATTGGTCTATGTATAGGATAGAATAGACAACTAGGAAACATATACAGCTATTTCAATAGAAGATTTTAAGAGCAGATAATTATAACTCCTAAAGCAATAATAATCACAATGACTGTAGATCGGTTATAGTTTGTTTACCACCCAGAAGTCTGATGGAATCCATGATTCCTCCCTGTAAGAAGTATGTTTCGGTCTGGACCCAGGATCAAACAGCTCCCTTCTCCCTGTTCAAGGAAGAATAAGTAAGAAGCACTTCGTTAAGTGATAAGGGCTAGTACTGAAGAATGTTCTACCTAGACTAGGAAGGACACAAGGTCACAGCGTTGAAGAAAAGCCAGCATAGGTCACCATAGCAGCTATTTTTGAGAGAAGAAAGAAACCAAAGTCATCTTGAAGATAAAACTGATAAAAACCAGAATCTGAAGTGAGATATAAGCAATTATCTCTTTAAAAGGGAAGTTTTAAAGCAATACATTCTCTAGTACAAGAAAATGACACACTAACATAGATCAAGGCAGAACAAAAAATTGTGAACAAAGACTTAGTGTAAGTTGAAGAATCAAGACCAACTCAAACCAAGGCCATTCTTTAGTTAAATAAGTAGTATTTCCCAGTCTCTATGAACAGAGGCAGTTTGGTTTTTATTTTTGTTTGTTTGTTTGGTTTTGTTTTTTTTACAACTCTACTCTTTTCATATTTAGTTTTATATAACTACACAAAGATCAACTTTTTTAACAACACTTTTCATTGCATAGAGGGGTTTCAGTTATTCCCCAAACTTCATAAATCCTCAAGTCCAGTACCTGCCTTGAAGGGACAGAGCTACAGCTCAGGCATAGATCACTCATCTAGTAGATACAAGGTCTGGATTCAATCCTCACACTCTCCAAAAGTCAGTCGGTCAGTCAAAAAAACCTCTAGCCCAGTGGATGTGCAATGGGCCTACATATCTATAGCAATTTCTAACAAACCAGAATTAAATCTTAATTACCAAGATAACAGCTCTTAGTATTCAATTCTATTTATTGTTTCTTCCAGATGTATGGAGCTTTCCATTTAAATAAAAAGCCTCAATGCAAATATACAATGCAAATATATTTATTGATCAAAATAAAATTTTGATCAAATTTATTTATTCATCAAAATCTGGAAGGATAGGTGGAGTTCTGCACTCCATAAATATGTTTCATATTAATGTGGAGAAGTACAGTCAACACATTGAAATAAACTTGCCTTTGACCTTGTCTATTTGAGATCATATTGTCATTTATGGTTTCCCTCATAATTTCCCAGGATATACCATAGAAGAGCAGAAAGGGGTCTTATGTTAGCTACCAATGGAACCTACCACATATTTGGTTTGTCTCAATCTGCTCAGCTACTTACCTAGAAATTGAATAAAATGTCAAATTGGGTTATTCATTTATCTATCCTTATTTAAAATGCTTAAGACATGTTTTCAATTTTTTACTTATTTTTGTCTCATGTTTTTACTTGATCTTAATCATGTTGATCTAATATGGACACCTGTATTGTCTCACACTTCCTTATTTCTACCACATAATTTCACCAGATCTGGAAACCTGAATCTTTTATATCCAGGGATAACCACTGTATTTATTTCCTTTGAGTTCTTTCTCAAAGAAAATACCTAATAAAAATCAGTTAAAAACATAAAGTGTCTGCCATGATGTTTGACTAACAAAATTATTTTATTCATTTTTCTGCCTAGACACTTCATGTACAATGAGTAAATTTCACAAAACACAAAGAGGCATATGTTGAAAATATGTATTTATCGTATATCAATAATCTAGTTGTTTGTATGTCCTTCACAAAGACAATTTTGTATTGTAGAATTGTATGCCACTGTCTTAACTTCATGTATAATTTTCTGAAACTGTTTCTATTATATACCTATCATCTATCAATCATCTATGTATCGTCTATCTACCAATCTATAATCTACCTGTCTATCTTCTATCTGTCTATCTGTCTCTCTCTGTCTCTGTCTCTGTCTCTCTCTCTCTCTCTATCTATCTATCTATCATCTATCTATCTACCTACTATCTATCTATCTATCATCTGTCTATCTCTATCATTTTTATATCTACCTATACATCTAGTTATTAATCATCTATCATCTTTGAATCATCATCTATCATCTATCTATTTATCATCTATTTTTGATAATCATCTATCATCTATCTCTATAGCTATATCTATTTTCTATCATGTATCTCTTTTCCTCACCATGATAATGACTTCTGTGGACTGGTCTTGAACTTTCTTTTGTTCTTCTTAACATTGTATCTTAAAGGTTGTTCCTCATCAATTTATAGTGCACATAGTATTTTCTTGTGAAGATATACTTTAGTTTATTTATGGATTTCCTGTTTCTCCTCACTTATGTTGCTGGTAATATTCTGCATTACAAATAATACAACATTGAATAGTCTTTTACAGGCGTCTCATGGTTTTGGTACTCCAAACTACAAAATGGGAAATTACATTTATATTAGCTTCTAATTCATTTTCTCTTTTCCTTTCAGCTTTTGCTGATTAAAGATTTTCCACAAAAGGATTTATTGCATTATATTCTTTTCTGTAATAATAATCCTTACATTTTCTAGTTTTAGATTTACATTTAAATAGGTTTACTCTTCAACAGAGATCTCCGGCCATTGTTTGTCCCTTCACCCCTCAGTTAGTGGAAGTTGCTTCTTAATGTTTCCTTCAAAAGGTGTGAAAATGCTCGCATTCAGTATTTGGGTTCTGATGTGAAATGTCCTCTGTAGGCTCGGTGTTGGAGCATTTGGTCCTCAGATGGTGGTGCTGTCTTACTTGTTTGGGAAGTTTTAGAAGGTGAGGCTCAGCTGGAAGAAGTGGATATCAGTGGACCTTTAGAGGTTCATGTGTCAGTCCCGTTTCCTGTCCTCCATTTCTTTCCTTGTTCCTGGAGAAATGAAAAGTCTTAGGCACAAGCTCTGGCCATTATGAGAACTCCCTCCATTATGGACCCTAGCCCCTTACAATGTGACCCCCAAATAAACTTCTCCTCCCTTTAACTCCTTCTGGTCAGGTATTTGATCTCGCCGATGACTAAAGCAACTAACACTTTTAATTTCATATGTTAACTTTACATTTGAACAGTAGCATGGGTGGTGATTTAATTTTCAGATCACATTCTGTCAATCTCTTTGAAGATTTAATTGCTACACTTGATTTTACTGTTGAACGCTGTGATGGAGGAGTCCGAGGCTATTCTTACTTTTTCTTTCAGTTTAAGTGAATTGACATCTCATTCTGATAAATGAAAAATTTTTTCACTGTTTTTGGTGTCTAACAAATATGTGTGCCTTTTTTTGTGTGTTTTCAATCATTTAGTTGCTTGTTTATAGAAAAAGGGAGTAAATCTTTGAAATTGTAAGTTTAAAATCTTATTTGTTTCCAAACATGTTTTCTATATGTTTGGTTCTGTATATAACTCATCATTTTTGTTACATACTTTAGCTATACAAATCTGGCATATCTTTTACTTTTCCACATTTTTAATCTTTATTATTCTAATTAATTCTTATTTTTATTAATTGTTTACCTTTTGTGTCTTTTCACAAAGTTTTCATAGGTGCCTGCTGTCTTCAAAATGGCATCCAATCCCATGGTAAGTTTAGCTTCTCTTTTCTATTCTAAATTGTGCCTGCCTGTATTCTTTAAAAAAAACCCAATTATTTACTTTATGATATATGTGAGTGCCTGAATGTGTGTATGAGTTCCATGTGTACATGAACCTGTGGACATCAAAAGGGAATTTTGGATCCTTTGGAACTAGAGTTATAGGTGGTTTTGAGCCACCATGTGAGTGCTGGGAATTTAACCAGGTCCTCTAGATGAGCAATAAGTGCTCTTACACACTCTTCACCACTGAGATATATTAACTAGTTAAACTAATAATATCTGTGAAAACTTGAAATGTGCAGGCTGTACTCTAGGGGACAGTAATGGAGTAGAAAAGGGGAAAGAAACTTTTCTTCTCTGGTAGAGGGTACACTGGAGTTTGTTTACATGTATCTACTATGATCTTGTTTTATGACAGTGGTTACTTCATTTAATTTCTACACACTTGTTCCTGCATTTTATCTGAATAAAACTTTTTTTTTTTTTTTTTTTTGTTTTTCGAGACAGGGTTTCTCTGTGTAGCTTTGCGCCTTTCCTGGATCTTGCGCTGTAGACCAGGCTGGCCTTGAACTCACAGAGATCCGCCTGGCTCTGCCTCCCGAGTGCTGGGATTAAAGGCGTGCGCCACCACCGCCCGGCTCTGAATAAAACTTTTTAAATTTAATTTTGTATTCATTTTACATACCAACCACAGATCCCCTTCTCTTCTCTCCTCCTCTTCCCTCCCAGCCACCCCCCATGCTTGGCCCAATCCCTATCCCCTCCTCCAAAAGGGTAAGGCCTCCCATGGGAATCAGCAAAGCCTGGTACATTCAGTTAAGGCAGGACCAAGCCATATCTATCGCCTAGCACAAAATTTAAGTCCCAGTGGATCAGAGACCTCATTATAAATCCAGTTACACTGAACCTGATAGAAGAGGAAGTAGGAAGTAACCTAGAACACATTGGCACAGAAGACCACTTCCTAAATATAATGCTAGTAGCACAAACACTGAGAGCAACAATTAATAAATGAGACTTTCTGAAACTGAGAAGCTTCTCTAAGGCAAAGGACATGGTAAATAAAACAAAAGGACAGCCTACAAAATGGGAAAAGATCTCCACCAATCCCTCATCTGACAGAGGGCTGATCTCCAAAATATATAAAGAACTCAAGAAACTAGACATCAAAATACCAAAAATTCCAATTAAAAATGGGCTACAGATCTAAACAGAGAATTCTCAACAGAAGAATCTCAAATGGCCAAAAGACATTTAAGAATTGCCTAACATCCTTAGTCATCAGGGAAATGCAAATCAAAATGACTCTGAGATACCATCTTACAACTGTCACAATGGATAATATAAAAAACACTGTTAACAGCTTATGTTGGAGAGGAGGTGGAGCAAGGGGAACACTCCTCCACTGTTGGCGGAAGTGCAAACTTGTACAAACACTTTGGAAATCAGTCTTGAGACTTCTTAGAAAATTGGAAATCAATCTACCTCAAGACTCCATGATACCACTCTTAGGCATATACCCAAGGGATGCTCAATCATACCACATGGACACTTGCTCAACTATTTTCAGAGGACCATTATTCATAACAGCCAGAACCTGGAAACAACCTAGATACCCCTCAACCAAAAAATGGATAAAGAAAATGTGGTACATATACACAATGGAGTACTACTCAGCAGTAAAAATACAATGAAAGCATGAAATTTGCAGGCAAATGGATAGAACTAGAAAATATCTTCAGTGAAGTAACCCAGACTCAGAAAGACAAACATAGTATGTACTCACTCATAAGTGGATACTAGATATAAAACAAAGGATAATCAGACTGAATAAAACTTTTAAAATAAGTTAAGCTGTACTGTTCATTTGTAACATGTATTTTTCCACTTTCGATAAAAGTTTTATTTTTATTTAAATAGAATGGTAATAAAGAAAAATTCTTTTGACAATCATTTTTCTGTTCTCTTTCTGTTTTGGGTAATGCAATTGTGTAGAAACATCTATTAATATCCTTTTATTGGTCATCTTTTAAATATTTTGAAAAATATTGTGTGTGTGTGTGTGTGTGTGTGTGTGTGTGTGTGTGTGTGTGTACTGTCTGTGAAGGTGGGGGGGGGGGGGCTTTAGATCCTTGTGAGCTGCCCAGTGTGGGTGCTAGGAGCTGAACTTGGGTCCTCTTGACCATTGATTCTTCCCTCTAGACCATACTGTCAATCTTCAAATGCAGCTAATTCTTCCTTACCTAGCCATTTCCATTTCCCAGGCTATTTTATCTGGTGAAATAAATAAATACTCTAGCCTTAGGTTAGCATATTGTAATCAGTATTTTTAACATAGACCAAGGCCTCTATTTGTACAGCTTATATATTTGTTTTACATTTAAAAATCATCAGAAACAGGAAGGAGATGAATATAGTAGCTATAGAGATACAACGAGACCCACAAAGCTTAGCATATTCTCTCTCCAGTTCATTTTTTTATTGAAAATAGATTATTCTCTTATACAATACACCCCAACCACAGTTTCTCCTCTCTCCACTTCTCTCGGTGTCCCCTTTTCTCTCTCCCAGATCCACTCCACCTCGATTTCCCTTTAGAAAAGAGCAGGTCTCTAAGAGACAACAACCAAACATGACAAAACAAGATACTGTAAGACAAGGCCAAAGCCCTCATATCCAGGCTGGACAAGGCAATCTAACAGGAGGAAAAGAGTCCCAAGAGCAGGTCTGAGTCAGAGACACACCGCTCTCAGAGACACACCGCTCCACTCTCAGAAGTCTGATTAGTGCTTTTGTGGCACTCTCCAGTTCTTCAAGAATTTTTTTTCTAACTATTTGCCCTAAGATCTAAAATAATGTGTTAGTGGATTTGTTAGCATTTATCCATAGAGCTTAGTATTGTGAAGAATCTCCCACCAATCTCTCCCTTGTAGGTCACTTCAGAACTAATCTGCTTGCTTCAAATGCATGTGGTGTGTGTGTGTGTGTGTGTGTGTGTGTGTGTGTGTGTGTGTGTGTGTGAGTATGTGTGTATGAGTGCGAGTGTGTGTTGTGAGGAGGGGAAAATGGAGAGAGAGCTTGCTTAATTTTCTACTCCCTCCTTCTGAAGGCAATGCTAAATTAGCTCAGGAAAATGTCTTGCTACCAGATGTGTGCCATTTCTGCAAGGGAGAGATTGTTCATTTTATTCCAAAGTTCTGTTCCTGTTTGGGAGAATTGGGCTCTGATGATTTCTCTGAAGCCTGTGGCTATAGCACGCTCTGTGTACTCCTCCTGCACTGTGTACTCCTCCTGCTCCGTGTACTCCTCCGGCTCTGTGTACTCCTCCTGCACCGTATACTCCTCCTGCACTGTGTACTCCTCCTGCTCTGTGTACTCCTCCGGCTCTGTGTACTCCTCCTGCACCGTATACTCCTCCTGCACTGTGTACTCCTCCTGCTCTGTGCACTCCTCCTGCACTGTGTACTCCTCCTGTTCCGTGTACACCTCCTGCTCTGTGTACTCCTCCTGCACTGTGTACTCCTCCTGCTCTGTGTACTCCTCCTTCTCCGTGTACTCCTCCTGCACCGTGTACTCCTCCTGCACTGTGTACTCCTCCGGCTCTGTGTACTCCTCCTGCACCGTATACTCCTCCTGCACTGTGTACTCCTCCTGCTCTGTGCACTCCTCCTGCTCTGTGCACTCCTCCTGCACTGTGTACTCCTCCTGTTCTGTGTACTCCTCCTGCACCATATACTCCTCCTGCACTGTGTACTCCTCCTGCTCTGTGTACTCCTCCTGCTCTGTGTACTCCTCCTGCACTGTGTACTCCTCCTGCACTGTGTACTCCTCCTGCTCTGTGTACACCTCCTGCTCTGTGTACTCCTCCTGCACCGTGTACTCCTCCTGCTCTGTGCACTCCTCCTGCACTGTGTACTCCTCCTGTTCCGTGTACTCCTCCTGTTCCGTGTACACCTCCTGCTCTGTGTACTCCTCCTGCACTGTGTACTCCTCCTGCACTGTGTACTCCTCCTGCACTGTGTACTCCTCCTGCTCTGTGCACTCCTCCTGCACTGTGTACTCCTCCTGCACTGTGTACTCCTCCTGCACTGTGTACTCCTCCTGTTCCGTGTACTCCTCCTGTTCCGTGTACACCTCCTGCTCTGTGTACTCTTCCTGCACCGTATACTCCTCCTGCACTGTGTACTCCTCCTGCACCGTGTACTCCTCCTGCTCTGTGTACTCCTCCTGTTCCGTGTACTCCTCCAGCACTGTGTACTCTTCCTGCTCTGTGTACTCCTCCTGCACCGTTTACTCTTCCTGCTCTGTGTACTCCTCCTACACTGTGTACTCTTCCTACACTGTGTACTCCTCCTACACTGTGTACTCTTCCTACACTGTGTACTCCTCCTGCACTGTGTACTCCTCTTGCACTGTGTACTCCTCCTGCTCCGTTTACTCTTCCTGCTCTGTGCACTCCTCCTACACTGTGTACTCCTCCTGTTCCGTGTACTCCTCCTGTTTGGTGTACTCCTCCTGCACTGTGTACTCCTCTTGCACTGTGTACTCCTCCTTCTCCATGTGCTCCTGCACAGTATACTCCTCCTGCACTGTGTACTCCTGTTCCATGTACTCCTCCTGCACTGTGTACTCCTTCTGCACCATGTACTCCTCCTGCACTGTGTACTCCTCCTGCACTGTGTACTCCTCCTCCGTGTACTCCTCCTGCACCGTTTACTCCTCCTGTACTGTGTACTCCTCCTGCACTGTGTACTCCTCCTGCACTGTGTACTCCTCCTGTTCTGTGTACTCCTTCTTCGTGTATTCTTCCTGCACCGTGTACTCCTCATGCTCTGTGTACTACTCCTGTACTGAGTTTTTACATTCACTATTCTCTTTTGCCAACTTTATTCAGATACTACCTGATTTACATTTACCAATGACTTGACTCATGTGTCCTCTAGTCCCACAAAAGTAGATACTGGACATCTATTCCTTGTTCTATTT